CAGGAAGGGAGTCTAAAGAACTGAGTCGAATTGAGGTGACCAGAGATGAAGTTCTAGACCTACTGGGGAAATTAAAAACCGATGTCCCCTGGTTCTGATGGCATCATGATTTGGAGATGGGAGTAAGCAGTGAAGTGGCTAAATTTGCGGATGATACAAAGTTGTTCAGGGTGGTGAAAACCAGTGAGGATTGTGAGGCACTCCAAGGGGATCTGTCAAGGATGGGCGAGCGGGCGTCAACATGGCAAATGGGGTTCAATGTGGCCAAGTGCAAGGTGATGCACATTGGAGCCAAAAATCCTAAATATAAATACACATTGATGGGGTCTGAACTGGCAGAGACTGAGCAAGAGAGAGATCTTGGAGTTGTAGTGGATAACTCACTGAAAATGTCGAGACAGTGTGTGACTGCAATAAAGAAGGCCAATGCTATGCTGGGGATTATTAGGAAGGGTATTGAAAACAGATCAGCCAATATAATAATGCCCCTATATAAATCAATGGTGAGACCTCATTTGGAATACTGTGTGCAGTTCTGGGCACCACACCTTAAAAAGGATATTATAGCTTTGGAAAAAGTGCAGAAAAGGGCAACTCGAATGATAAAAGGGTTGGAACACTTTCCCTATGAGGAAAGGTTAAAGCGCTTAGGGCTCTTTAGCTTGGAGAAAAGACGACTGAGGGGTGACATGATCGAGGTTTATAAGATTATGCATGGGAAAGAGCAGGTAAAGAAAGAGGTACTTTTCTCCCTTTCTCACAATACAAGAACTCGTGGGCACTCCATGAAACTGCAGAGCGGTCGGGTTAGAACGGATAAAAGGAAGTACTTCTTCACCCAAAGAGTGATTAACACATGGAATTCACTGCCACAGGAAGTGGTGGGTGCTACAAGCATGGACGGCTTCAAAAGGGAATTAGATAAGCATATGGAGCAGAGGTCCATCAGTGGCTATTAGCCACAAGGTATAGCTAGGGGCTCTGGGGCAAGTGATGCTCTGTCTTCTTGGTGCTTGGGGGGGGGTCAACAGTGGGAGGGCTTCTAATGTCCTGGCCCCACTGCTGGACCTCCTGATGGCACTGGTATTTCTGGCCACTGTGTGACACAGAGTGTTGGACTGGATGGGCCTTTGGCCTGATCCAACATTGGCGTCTCTTATGTTCTTATGTACACCCAAGATTTCTTAAGGAACTCAGATGTGAGATTGTTGATTTACTAACCCGTATATGTAACCTGTCACTAAATTTGGCTGCTGTACCAGAAGACTGGAATGTAGCAAATGTGACACCAATTTTTAAAATGGGATACAGAGGGGAACCAGGTACAGGCCAGTCAGCCTAATGCCTGTCTCAGGCAAATTATTGGAAACTATAATCAAAGATAGAATTGTTAGGCACATAGAGGGACAAAACCTGCTGGGGAAAATCAGTATGGCTTCAGCAGAGGGAAGTCCTGCCTCCCCACCCTTTTGGAGTTCTTTGAGAAAGTGAACAAGCATGTAGACAATGGTAACCCGGTAGACCTTATATACTTGGACTTTCAAAAGGCTTTTGACAAGGTGCCTCACCAAAGACTCCTGAGTAAACTTAGCAGTCATGGGATAAAAGGGACAAGTTCTCTTCTGGATTAAGAAGTGGTTAAATGACAGGAAGCAAAAAGAAGGAATCAATGGACAGTTCTCACAATTGGAGGGAAGTAAGCAGTGGAGACCCACAAGGATCTGTACTGGGGCAGGTGCTATTTAATTTATTCATAAATGATCTAGGACTAGGAGTGAGTAGTATAGTGGCCAAATTTGCAGATAACACACAATTATTCAGGATGGTGAAAATGAAGGCTGACTGTGAAGAGATTCAAGAGGACCTCTACAACCTGTGCGAGTGCGTAAAAATATGGCAAACAAAGTTCAATGTTGGTAAGTGTAAGATGATGCACACTTGGACAAAAAAATCCCAACTTCAAGTATAGGCTAGTGGGGTCTGGATTTGCTGAGACTGAGCGGGGAAAAGATCTTGGTTTTATTTATTTATTCAATTTATACCCCGTCCTCCCCACCAAGGCAGGCTCAGGGTGGCTTACATAAAATTTAACACAGTCGAAACAATAAGTTTCTACCTTAGTGGAGTGTCAAGCCAGTGTGCTGCAGTGGTGAAAAGGGCAAACTCTTATGTTGGGGGTTATTAGGAAAGGGATTGAGAATAAAATGGTCAATATGGTAAAGCCTCTGTATAGATCTATGGTGTGGCCTCATTTGGAATACTGTGTACAGTTCTGGTCACCATATCTCATAAAGGATATTACAGAGCTGGAAAAAGTACAGAAGAAGGCAACCAAAGAATTAGGGGGCTGGAGCACCTTCCCCATGAGGAAAGGCTGAAGAGTCTGGGACTTTTCAGTTTAGGTAAGAGATGGTGGGGGGGGGGGACAGGACACGATGGAGGTTTATAAAATTATGCATGAGGTAGAGTAGATCAAGAGGAATTTTTCTCTCTCTCCCAAAACACTAGAATTTGAGGGCATCCAGTGAAGCAAATCGGTTCAGGATGGACAAAAGGAAATATTACTTTACACAGAGAGTGATTAAAATGTGAAATTTGTTGCCAGAGGATGTAGTGATGGCTACAAGGATACACAGCTTTAAAAGGGGATTAGATAGATTCATGGAGGATAAATGTATCAATGGCTACTGGGACCTCCTAATTCAGAAGCACTAATCCTTTGCATCCCAGAGCTAGGAGGCAACATTATGAGAGAGTTGTTAGTCTATGCCGTGTTGTTAGTCACCTGGAGGAACTGGTTGGGCAGCATGTGAGACAGGATGGACTATTGGTCTGATCCAGAAGGGCTCTTCCTGTGTTCTAGTGCTCACAACTAATGGTATCATCCTTCTGCCTTGTGTCTGTGTATTTTCTAATCCAGATCTCAGCCTACAAGTATACACAGAAGGTACAGAAACTCAGAGCCGTATTGGATGGGGCTAGAGACAAATCAATTCCAACTCTGAAATGATTCCCCTCTGTATATGATTGGTACTTACCTTTTCACACTGGAAAGCATTGTGTGCAAAAACAAAGCACAATCAACATACCTTTTATTAAGACCATCCAAAGGGAGACAAAACATGTGCAAGCTTTTGAATTCTTCAACCAGCTAAGATGTTACAAAATAAAAATAGGTATGTGTTGAAGTGGAAGGGGGAGAGAAGATGTTTCATGCCATGATTTTAATGCCTGTTCTTGCCAGCATTCTTGTGCTTAATGCTGAGCAGGCACATAGATTTGAAGTGGTGCTTTTGGTGTCAAGTTGGTTTCTGCAAGTAAGAAAAAACCAAATGGTATCTCTCCACTGACATTACAGAAACCTGCGATTTTCCTTGTATCTCTCAGATACCAAGTGAGAATCCAGATATCTTCTAGGCTGAGAGCAAAGGAATCTCTTGGTAGTCATTGTTTTAACACTTTTGGAGATAAGTTTGCAGTGATGCATAAGGCGTAAAGTCAACTAAAGCCAAACTGGGTAGTTTTAGCTCATGTTGTAGGTACATTCCCATATGCACAGTCTCTGGCTATTTGGATTCAGATCCAGTTGATCCATTCCTCTTGGCTGAATTTATGGAACAACCTGATGGCTACCTTCTCTCAACACTGTAAAACCCTTTTAATAGGGACATGTAGCACTATTACCCAAGGTATAAAATGTCAAAGACAGATGTGCTCAACAGCTACAGGAGGCAGAGCAAGCAAGAGAAAAATGACATTACTGCCCTCTATTGGCCACTTTACCAAGGCACAACAGAACACAAGATGAAATTATTCTTATTAATGTACTTATTTGAATATAAAGAAGAAAACAAGACGGGGAGAAGAAAAATCATAAAAAGGGATGTAATGGACACATGAGATTTTCAAGTCCATAAACTTAGATCCAGATTTTGTGAGTGGGCACAAAACTGATCCTGAAGACACCTCAAGCAATCTGACATGCGGGCAGGTGGGGGTGCTATTCACTCAGGATTCCAAAGACTTGGAAGATACACAGATTCATGTTGATGTCTCAGAGAATTGAGAGCTGGTTTAAATATTGCCATGAGCCCTGAAACAGCTGTGAAGGTGTCCTTCCTGCACTGAGTGTAACAATTTTTTTGGCAGAATGCAGAGCGAAGTGGCTCTAGAACCTTTTCCTCTTAGGACACTGTGACCTGTACAGTAGTAGAGTGTCCCCAAAGTATAGCCCCTTACCACTTACAGATTTCTTTATATAAACAAGCAAAAAAAAATCTGGGGCAGAAAACCCACCTCAGAAATCAAAGTGTTTTGGGTTTTTTAAACCCCGCCCATTCCTCCCTCCCCCATACCCACGAGGCAACACAGAACAGAATACTGGGAGGGGGTCACAAAATTTCGCCTCTTGATTTTTAATTACTGAACTATATAATAAAGATTTTATGGTTTTATTGTTTTTAAATTTGTACATCGCCTAGAGCCCCACAAACGAAACAGAAAATGTACTTGATGAAGACTGCATAATTCAGGGAATAAAGGATACTGAGAGCAGTGAGAAGATTTTAAAGGAAATCTAAAAACAGGGGAGGGAAAATCAGCCTGCTCACTCCCCTGCCCCACCAATAAGAGAGTAAGGGGTGATTTCCAAATCCCCCCCCCCAAATTCTTCATGGCCCCAGTTTGACAATGTGGGTAACTGAATTAACTTTTAAAAAATGTCTTCTTAGTTCAGCTGTTGAATGCATCCTTTGAAGCAGAGTATCTTCAGTGGCCACAGACAAGGGCCCTTGGTGTGCTAACAAACTGCAGTGTTGCCCTACTTTCCCTCATATACATTTTACCAAATTAAAAATCCACTTGCTCTTGTGATTCCCAAGAACAGCACTTACTTTTATTCATGTCTCATTGGTGACAAAGTACACATCACAACCACCAGTAATTGACAGCAGGACACAGAATCAATACCAAAGAGTTTTCCAGAAAGAGAGGTTCTTGGCCAGTTGTTGCTTTGAGATGACAGCTGATTGTCACACTCTTGCATTTAGTTCTTTAATTCTCTCTCACTTTGTGAAGAGACACGTAAATCCAAACTTCCAAGGAGGGGGTGACTTTACATAATGTGCAGGTTTTGTCTAAATGAAGCTTTCTGCAACACTGCCCACCTGGCTGTTGTTAAGGCTTAGATTTTCCATATGGTGGCCAGAATTTTCTTTTAAACTTTTGATTCATTTATTACTTTATTAATTGGTCAAAGCTACACAGATATGCACAGGCCATATTTAAGCTACAGGACCTCTAGACAACAATGCACTCTTTTGTATAGTGTGGCTAGCTGAGGATTCATGAAAGATTATGATTTAAAATGGTTACTAGGGGGGAAAAAAGAAGAAATCCTCTATTCATTAGGCCAAGAACCCAACACCCTCCCAGCATTGCTCCCTATTGTCCACTGCTTCACAGCCCAGCAGGAAGGAAAATGGGGGGAGGGTGTCGCTCACTGTCACTTCTGGTGAAAAACTAGAAGTATCATCATCGTGTCAGGGCTCCTTTTTGGGATTCACTCAAAACTCCATTTGGCAAATCCTAGAATGTCATCACAACATGAGGACATCACTTTCAGTTTTGTGCCAGAAGTGACATCACGCTTTGGTCCAACGCCACAGAGCCTGTCCCCACCCCCAGTTTCTCCCAGCAGCTGGCAACCCTAACCTGGTACATGTGATTTTTCATAGAAGGAAACAGATGAACAAATTCAAAATGCAGAGTATCTGCTATTCCTATGCATAGCTACCTACTGTTTATTTGTGTCATACCTTAGATGCCTATATCTTGCTGTGAAGAGCCTCCTTTAAACAAACCAATTGAATATTGTCACTATAGGGTAGCAAACCTATGACACTGTTTGCTTGTTCTCATATGTTTACCCTTATATGGCAAAAGAGAAGACATTCTTAAATACAGTTTCTTATAGCAGGAATCTATTGTATCATTCTTTTGCCCCCTGAGAGCTCATTTGTGAGAATAAGCAAATTTGGCTTCTTCTTTTTTTTGTCGTCATTACAGTGAGAAATCCCTGATGAATGCATAACCAGTGACTACTTTGGACTGACAGCTGCACGGGACCTTTTTGTAGCAATTCCAAGGAACCAACCAAAAAGCAGCATTTACTTGGTTGTACTTCAGCAATTAGCAGCAGGGGCAGGGCAGGAAATCATTATAAGTCAAGGTGTCCTTGGAACTCAGCAAAGGGAGCTTGAGCAGCTCCTTTATAATAATAGAACTAAATTTTGCAGCAAATCAGGGACACTGCAGTGCTAATACTCAATTTGGAGAACATTTCCACGCTATTGTAACAAAAATGAGACTCCCTCCAAGCCCCCTTCCCTTTCCAACATAGCCCTGAATGAATGCAGCCCTTGGAACATGGGATTTCCTATGGCTCTGAAGGGCCAATAGGGATATTCCTGAGAGGAACAGCAGTGCCTTGACTTCATTGTTGTGAACAGCTGTACAGCCCAAGCCTATGTTTTGTGTTCCCAGCTGGGACACAGCAAGCTGGGATGGAACAGGGCTCAAGTAGGAGTCCTGTGGTTTTAATCCTCTTCTGAAAACTCAAGAAGCATGAATGTTTCCATTGCATGAGACCTGCAACCATCAGTTTGCAATAAGTGGTCTCTCACAGTCTAGCAGCATGGATCAGGTGTTCTGGGATTTCTTCAGGTGTAGTTTCCTGGGCCACCAAGGGGAATAACGAAGACTGAGATGTCATCACCAGAGCCTAATTTGTCATTGGCCAGCCTCCAGCCACGGTCCTTCAGAACTCCTCTGGACCTTACCACCAACTCCTGGGCTACCATAGTGTATCTGCAAAACAAGAGCCACCTAGTCAGCACCAGTCTCCATTCCTGTAATGCAACAGCTATAATAGTGCACCCTATTATTTCAACATGCCATTTTAAGTCAGTTTGGTGAGTCAGTTTGGTGTAATGGTTAAGTGTGGGAACTCTAATCTGGGAGAACCGGGATTGATTCCCCACTCCTCCACTTGCACCTGGCTGGATGACCTTGGGCAAGCCATAGTTCTGGCACAGCTGTTTTTGAAAAAGAACAGTTTCTGTCAGGGCTCTCTCAGTCCCACCTACCTCACAGGGTGTCTGTTGTGGGGAGGGGAAGGGAAAGGAGTTTGTAAGCCACTCTGAGACTCCTTTGGGTAGTGAAAGGCGGGGTATAAATCCAATCTCCTCCTCCTCTTCTTCCTCTTCTTCTCAGCTACCTAAATTCAGTCTCCTCCTCCTCCTCTTCTCAGCTACTAACTGTTAAGGTCCAAGATAGATCCAGATGGGTAGCTGTGTTGGTTTGAATCAGCAGGGCAAAGTTTGAGTCCAGTGGCATCTTTGAAACTAGTTCACTCTTGACACTGCCTTCTTCACATGTTTAATCTGGACATTTCTTTACCATCTGTGGGCCTGTGTGAGCCAGACTATATGTGGATGCAACCGCCAATGGGTTTTGCAAACCTTTCCCTTGGCCATCAACACAGGAATCACTGCAGCTTTACTTTAAGTAACGTGTTTGAGGGGAAGGGGCTATGGTCCAGCAGAAGAGCATCTGCTTGGCAGCAGACGGTCCCAGGTTAAATCCCACAGTTCTCCAGCTAGGTGATAGGTGATGTGAAAGACCTCTGCCTTGAGTCCCTGGAGAACCACTGACAGTCTGAGTTGATAATACTGATTGTGATGGACCAATACTCTAATTCAGTATTAGGCAGCTTCATGTTTTGAGCCTTCATGATGCCACAAAAGGTTTCAAGCATGTGGAATATATGGGCACTGCCTAATGAATTCTCAAAAGCCAGGAAAACCTTAGCACTGTCTTCCTGATAGAAATTGACCTTCCTAATTTGGTGTTAGTCCTGGTAGGGAAAAAAGACTAGTGCAGTATGGGTATCTATTTTTCTAATGGGCCAAAGCACCTCTGGGGAGTTTCTACTGGTCAAATGGCATGGGCAGAAAGCATTAACTCCCCTCCCACCCAAGCACCATTCCCTCCGACACAAATAAGGACTGCTTGTAGGTGCTTTTATAATATTTCAAGACAATGGCTGGGGACCTGATCATACATCTCCCTCATACCATGTAATTCAACTGTCAGCCTCTCTCTACATCTGCCTACAGAAATGTTGCCCTACTCACCTGCAAGGGTCATTGGGCTCATAACGCATGAGAATGTCCAGCACTACATTGGCCACCTCTTGATTACTGGTGACATCCCAGAGGCCATCAGTGCCCAGCACGAGCACGTCATCAGGGCAGTGCTCATACTGAGTGAGGTCATAGATGCAGACCTGTGAAAATCAAGAAGTGCAGTCTTACTGCAAACATGACTAACTGTAGCAAGGAATTCTTCACCCACAGGAAACTGTGATATCCCATGCACCTTCTGCTTTGTACACTGCTGCACTCTCAATCACTGTCAGTCTGATTTTATGGGTGCCTGCCAAGGGCTGATGATGATGCAGCACTTGTACTGGACAAAATTAATGAGTATCCTCTGCACTGCATGGGTCCCAACACTTCATGCTCAGTAAGATCACACTCAAGTTTGGTAGGTGCAACAATGCACCAGGTTGAAGAGGGTCTGTCATGCTCACCATTCAGTGTGTCATGCATGTAGTCTCTCCAGTGCAGTTCCACAATCTTCAGTTGCTGCATAGGTGTAGCACTGCACTGCACTGGTGCAAGACCTTGCATGTGTTGCTATTCCTAATTTGTCTTACACAGCAGGGCCAAAAGAAGAACTATTAAGAAAAGGGGGATCCTCTGCATGTTTTGGGTCCTCTGGAAATCAATGAGGGTCATCTAATCGGACATGAGACAAGGTATCGAAGTCAAAGTACCTTTGCCTCAGTAGCACCAAAAATCAGGATGGACTAAGGAATGCCCATGTTGCATCAAGAGTATTATGTGGAAAAACACATTCTACTGGACCCAAGTGCTTGGCATGAGAATATATGCAGGGCTGATCCTTGTACCACAGAACAATATGAAGAGGAAAACCAAAACAATTGTTTATATAATTTTTTTAACGTCTTAAAAGTGAGATTTCTAATTCTTAGTTTGAATTCAACTTTTTTTCATTCAAATTTGGGTCAGTTTTAGTTTCTAAACTCCAGCATTTCAGGTTTTGACATCTCAATTGCCAAGACATTTCAGAGCCCTAGTGTGAGAATCAGAAATATTTTAACATATTTTTCTAAAAAAAATCCACAACCAAATAACTAGCCAAACAACAACAAAAAACTTTAAAGGGAAAAAATATTTCAGTTCAAACACTGGAATTTAAGGCTAATAAGTCTGTGACAGAGATGGCAACAGTATGGGTCTTTTTGTAGAAAAAGAGCTGCAGGAGCTCATTAGCATAACTCATTAGCATATGCCACACCCCCTGACATCACTGGAAGTGTCAGAAGGCCACACCCCCTGACATCACCGGAAATGTGTCAGAAGGCCATACCCCCTGACATCACTGGAAGTGTGTCTGAAGGCAACACCCACCACTCAGGCTCCACCCCAAAAACTCCAAGGTATTCCCAACTCAGAGCTGGCGAGCCTATCTGATGGCACATGTGGGGGAAAACAAGCAAACCACCCATGTCAGGTAAACAGGGGGGATACAAGCAATGTTCCCTCTAAGCTGTGGAGTCCCGTGAGCAAAAATTCCACTTTGTGAGCTACTGGCATTAAAGTTCTGAGCAAGCGATTTAGTTGCTGCATCAATTAGTTTGCTCTG